CCCAAAACCCCAAAACCCCACCTAGCATATTTTTAGATTCGTTATAATTGAATTAAAGTAATATTAAATTAAAAATGGAAAAATAAGATGTCTTAATGAATGATAATGATGCTCCGAAAAATCCAGAGATTTAGAATTAAAATAATACTAAACCAATATAAGAAGTAAAGGAAAAATAGAATAGTCAAATATTCAATGCTATCTGTTTCTTAGAGCTTGAATATACTGATCCAGATCCAAATTCAGAAAACTGCAGGATATGTGAAATTTCAATAATTTTGATGAATCAGAATTTGACTTAGAGCTATCCTGTAGCAGACTATATTATAGACACTAACCCTGAATTTGTGACAGATCCCTATGTTAAATAGAGATTAGTTAGTAGTGGACTTTGGAATGATATGCAAGATCCAAATAAGTGCATCACTCTTACAGATGCTGAGTAGTTGATAATATAGTAGCTGCAAGAGTATAAGATACTGAAAGGTTCGACTCCTTCAGCTGGTATACAAGCATATCAAGATAGAATACTCACTGAGAGATTTATGCCAGAACTTGATAAATTTCTAAATTTTATGTAATCTAATACTTGTCTTATAGAATAATTTTATAGGATAATAGATATTTCAAGTTTGGATGATGTAGCTGAAAGATTCAATAAAAATGCATTTAGGAATAAAGATCAAAACTCAAAGCCCAATCTTCAGAGGACATAGTATAATATTTAGAAAGCGATCAACAGATTGAGAAACTACAAAAAAAGTTTACTGAAATCAAAATGATTTGAGAAGTAAATTTTGACTTAAAACATTTTTATCCAACAAATATTTAATCAGAGTTAATACTATTTTTAATAAAAATCTATTTTAAATTTATACGAATTAATTAAATTGTCATAATATAAAGTATAAATGATAATGATATCCATGATTAAAATCAATTTCCTCATAATCCCAGCTAGTAATATGAATGAAAGGGTTTCAAATCTTTTCAGCAAGAGCCATTGAATATAAACTGCCACATTAGATTTCCTTGATTTTGATAAAACATTTGCCCTATGAAATCTCATTGGCAGTACCACTGATTTTGACGCCTCCATCTTCAGCAGAGTTAGCTATAAATGGGAAATCAATCTCCATAATCTCATGATAGTTCTTTTTAGGTTTAGAACCAGTCTAGCTATCTAAATTAATACCAAGTTATCCCTCAATGTTCTAGCCACATCCATAGAGCTTACCTGACTTTGTCAAGAATAAAGAATGCAATGAGCCAGCACTAATTTATACTACCTCATCTCCAGCTATCATCCTACTTGAAGTGATTTCTTTGAACTGATGCAGAGGCTTCTTGTCATTAAATCCTAACTAGCCATATCTTGTTGATCCACAGCCAAACACTCTGTTAGATTTGGACACTGTGTCATAGCAGAGCACTATCAAATGTGACATCCCATAGCTAGCATCTAATACTTTTAAGTTATACTGTGTGAAATAGTCCTTTTTCATGAAATCTGAGAAGAATATCAATTCTTGTCCAAGTTCCTGGCCCATAGCAAGCTGACCAGACTCATTCAATCCCTGAATAAGCAAGTCGCCGTCTTAAGAGATCAAAGCACAGTTTGACTAGCCAGTAATCAATTTCTAGATTTTATAATAGATCAGGTTTTCTTTCAACAGTCTAGGCAGTGGTTAGTTAATGTCAGCATACTAAGTCTACTATGCTCTTTTTATACTGTGAAAGTCAAGATTGAATTTTGGATAGATACCCATCTTCCTACCCCATGCATAAACCTAGTGAGAGTCATTCAAAGCCAAGCACTGATCAAAGCCAACTGCTATATCAATGACTGAATCTTCCAATTGCACTCTTTATGGTGACAGAGCTATCATTATAGAGGAATTGTTTATTCCAAGTTAGCCAAACTGATTATTTCCCCAAGTATATACCTCCCCAGTACTTGTAAGAAGAGCAGAGAACATACTACCACAAGAGACTTTGACCACTGGCTGCATAAAATCAATCTTGAAGGGTACAGATGGGACGATCTCAATTTCATTTATTTGCTTTTCTGTGAAAGTCTGTCTAGTATCACTTTCATCAATAGCAATGACACTTGCTCCTGATTGAATTATCTCAGGCATTTAAGATATCGAAGATTGATAAAGGAATAGAGAAGTATTATTGCCTGCTGAATAGTTTAAGATACCACCTCGTTCAAATACAGGGTTATTGGCTATCTATACATTGTAAATTTTAAATATTCTTACTTTTCTCATTTAATTATCGTTGTAGAAAGTCTGATCAATTGAGTCATCAAGAAGGGCAAGTTGTGAATGTGAGTTAGATCCCCAAACAAAGAGCTAAGCGGAGATATTCTCATAGCTAGGTGTCTGAACATAAAGAGCTTTGCCTTGATAACCTTCTCCAATCTCATTAACAGCTGTGATCTTGATATAGTAGCCTGTATTATCATCCAGATTATCAAAAGTGTAAGTGAGAGTATCTTTGGAAAGTTCTTCAATTTCAATGAAGGATGCTCCTTCAGAGTCTAGAGATAAAGATGAGTTTGAGTCTTTATCATCAATAGTGTCCATCCATGTGAAGTAGTCTCCTCTATGAATGATTTTCTAGCCAAGGTAAATCTTATATGCTGTGATAGGGCAATTGTTTTCATTAGGCTTGATCCATTTAATTGTAGTTTTACCTTTACATTGAGCAATACATTTAATATCTTTGATTTCATCAGGGCGATCTTTGAAAGATTATAGAGTTGCCTTCTTAAGTTCTTTATGATATTGCTTTCTTTTGAGATAGTCATCTTGCTATTGCTTCTTAATCCTTTATAGTTTCTCAATGTACTCCTGCTTTTGATCTTGATCCATTTGTTCAAGGTCAGTTTCACTCTGAGTATCCCCATACATTCTTTTCTTAAGGAGAGTTTGTCCAAATGATGACTAAGATTTAGAGGAAGTAGATCTGCTTTCCGATTAAGTTTATTCAAAGTCTGCTTTTAGCTCTTCTTACTCATTTCTTTTATCTTAATCATGTAAAATAATAGCTTAGTCCTCAGAGACTGAACTAGATGAATCACTTAGAGACTATGCAACTCTATTAGATTTTGCCTAGTCTTAAGCATATTTGTCTCTTAGTTTTTGAAGATTTTTCTCATAAACTCTCATCTTTCTTTTGAGTTCATCTATCCTTACTTGGATTGGACCTTCCCAGAATGTTTCAGCATTCTCATCCTTGATACCTTTCTTTTCAAAATAAACCTCTCTGATTAGTTTTTCCCTCATAGTGACAGGGTTCTCTCTAGGGATGCCTGCCATGTTAGCATTCATAAACTTTTCTCTTATTTTCTGTTTCTCCTTCTCAATTCTCTTGAGCTCCTTTTCAGTCACGTTTGGGAACAGACCATTTGGGTAAATGAGTACTTTTCGGTTGTTCTTATTAGACTTACCTACAGATATGCTTCTCATACCAATGAAGTTGCACATGCAGTGAATTAAGGCTCTTGCCTAAGGATCAAGAACTTCGGGAAACTCAAGGGCTCGATCATTGAATTTAGCCAAGAATTAAATCATGATGTTGCTGACAAAGTATTCAAAGTCCTTTTCGTTCTCATAAGTAACCTCAAGAAAGTCAGAAAACATTGAAGCAGGTAAACTCACCTTTCCTTTGTGAATATCGTCATTCTATGTCTCAAGTTTTTGGACATCCCAGATCGACCTCATCTAGTCGGTGGTTTTTTGTCCTCCCATTATTCTGCATCCATCAAGCATCTTGTCAAGTTGATTTCTATCTCTCAAAACGTAAGCTTCATCCTTGCTAGGTTGTTCTTTTTCACTTTGATCCTGCTTTATTTCCTCTTATTGTTCAGTATTGTTCTCAGTCTGAGGAATGACGATCTCTTCAATGATAATCTCAGAAGTTGTCTCCTCAGTCTTTGTAGAATTTTCAGCTTAATTTTAGCTCAAAGGCTAATCAATAGATTAAATGTTAAGTTTAATCTCAGAAGTTTAAAACAATTCGTTGCTATTCATCGAAATTAATTATTAATTTTCTCTAAGTACAGCTATTTATATCTGGAGGGGTTTTGGGGTTTTGGGGTTTTGGGGG